CACGGCATTGGGCGGAGCAAACTCCTGCCTATAAAAACTTAAGGTTTTACGACAATAGTTTCAGTAATATTTTGATTATTGGATTTAATTGAGCAGCTTTAGCGATTAGCGTTAGTTTATGGCTTCATAATCCACTAAAACATGTCTCTATTCTGATGCGGATTATTTCTTAATAGCTTAACAAGCGCTGTGTTTTATTTTTTCTTAGATTTTGAAATTTTCGAAATTATTTGTTAAGCTCAAGTTATATTTACAATTTGTGTATGTATAACCAAGATTATTGGAAGAAAATGAGTCGCAAAAATATAAGAACTTCTCATAAAAGGTGTAGCAGTATCTGACTTGTAACACAACCGTGCAATTATAATAAGTGTTTCCGTATCTATTTTGTAGGGCACCTCACGATAGAAACTTTGGAGCTCGCGGAGGCCGTGGCGGTGATGACCGTAATGGCAGACAAGGCGGCAATGCCGGTGGCATGCGTAATGGTGGCGGTGGTGGGGATTTCCACGGTGTACGTAATGGACGTATTGACAAGAACCGTGGTGGTGGACGTGGGGGTGGTTTCGGCGGCGGTAGTGGTTTCGGCGGTGGAAACGGTGGATATGGTGGCGGCGGCGGTCGTGGTGGCACCCAGGATATCACACTCAGCTCTGTTGATTTTTCAAATTTGCAACCCTTCAAAAAGAATTTTTATCAAGAACATCCAATTGTTGCAAATCGTTCCCCCTACGAAGTCCAACGATTCCGCGATGAACATGAAATTACTATTCGCGGAAATGCACCGAACCCCATTCAGGACTTCAGCGAAGCTTATTTCCCAGACTATGTATCGAAGGAAATACGTCGACAAGGTTATAAAGCTCCAACTGCAATCCAAGCACAAGGTTGGCCAATAGCCATGAGTGGGTCCAATTTTGTTGGCATCGCTCAGACAGGATCGGGCAAAACCCTTGGCTACATTTTGCCAGCAATCGTGCATATTAACAACCAAAAACCCTTGGAACGTGGTGATGGACCCATCGCTTTGGTTTTGGCACCCACACGCGAGTTAGCACAGCAGATTCAACAGGTTGCCACAGAGTTTGGATCATCCTCGTATGTTCGCAACACTTGCGTATTTGGAGGCGCACCAAAAGGAGGTCAAATACGTGACCTTCAGCGTGGCTGTGAAATTGTAATTGCTACTCCCGGTCGTCTAATTGATATTCTCTCGATGGGTGCCACCAATTTGAAGCGTTGTACATATCTTGTATTGGATGAGGCTGATCGTATGTTAGATATGGGTTTCGAGCCACAAATCCGTAAGATATTGTCGCAGATTCGCCCCGATCGCCAAACGCTTATGTGGTCCGCCACATGGCCAAAAGAGGTTAAACAATTAGCAGAAGATTTTCTGGGTAACTACATACAAATTAATATTGGCTCATTGGAACTGTCTGCGAACCATAACATTCGTCAGGTGGTTGATGTATGCGAAGAGCATGACAAGGAAGACAAGTAAGTTGAATAACAAGTAAAAAAATATATTTAACAAATTTTTAAAAGTACAAAAAAAAGCCTCTGCGCAAAGGTGTCGATATGTTATAAATGTTACATACAATATGGNTATATTTTTAACAAATTTTTAAAAGTACAAAAAGAGCCTCTGCGCAAAGGTGTCGATATGTTATAAATGTTACATACAATATGGTTGTATAGTTTTATAATTTGTGTTTAATACATTTTTTTTTCTCAGGCTTAAGGCTTTGCTTTCAGAAATCTACGACACAAGCGAAAATCCAGGAAAGATCATAATCTTCGTGGAGACTAAACGTCGTGTTGACCATCTGGTGCGATTCATTCGCAGTTTTGGTGTCCGTTGTGGTGCTATCCACGGCGACAAGTCACAGTCGGAACGTGACTACGTTTTACGTGAGTTCCGTTCGGGCAAGTCAAACATTTTGGTAGCAACTGATGTCGCTGCACGTGGCTTGGGTAAGTTTTACCAATTGCACTCATCGTTTGCCTTGTTTCATTATCATTCTCATATTTTTTACTGGTGTGATTATATTTTCAAATGAATTGAGGGATGGTGAATGCAAAGTGTGATAGTCGACTTCGGAAGATGAAAATTTATATAGCGTCCACTTGGTCTGGATTCATTTTGCAATCACGTACTCCCAGCATTTGACGATTGTAACCAGCAACGCCATGACATCTCTAAAAACCCGTAGGCACATCACAAAATGCTCGTATGTTAGATCTTAAAAACAACTCGAACCAGTTGCCCAAAATTCACTTTAGCTTTAGTGACAAATAAGTCATCATATCTGTTAAAGACATATTAATCAACTTGGAATTTTCCTTCTTTTCCCCAAATCTATTCTCTCCTGATTCTTCTCGTTTACAGAGGCCGATTATTGTAGTATGGTGGGGATAATATGAACAACTATTGACACGACGCAATTCACTACGCATTGCGTTTATAAGTGAACTCTGAAATTTAAGCACAAAGAGAATCCGGTGAAAAGTTCTTTGAAAGAAACTTTTTCATTAAGCCGATTAAGCTGCGGTGGCGGCAGTACTTTGGCTAAACATTCCAAGGTAAAGGGGATGTCGTGGAACCATCTGCTGCCATACGTTTGCGAGTATCGTCACTGCACATTGGAGGAGAAGGGATATACAATACGCAACAGCCGGTGGATACGCTTGCCTGATCCGTGCTACTTGTGCGAAAAGCGTTCCAGCGCACCTTAGCGTACACACACATTGTATGCCCAAGACAAGTTAAACAACATGAATCCAAGAAGTGACAACATTTATTTGCAAAACGCGAAATATATGTCGCGTCGTCGTGTAAATTTATTGTTCAAAAACATATGTACATAAATCCTGCTTCTTCCCAAATTTACAATGTGCACATAGAGTTCGGCGGTATACAATATCCCTATCATCATGCAGCAAAAGTGGCCTCTGCACTCCTTTATTTAAGTGATAGTATTTGTAAAACTGTAACAATTTCGGTTCCAAAGAGAGAAAGGTAATAAATAGTAGGGTTTCCAACCTTGCATCAGCGTTTATTACAAATGGCAAACTGTCGAGCACATAAGAGAGCTTTATATAAATTAAATAAGTTTAGTTAGTTCTTTTATGTGTATCTCTCGGGCATGTACTCCACAAGAAAACGGGGTTTAAATCACACGCAGGCAGTTAATACAAACTCCTCCATTTTTCAACTAAATGCATGTCCGTCCTACATTCGCAACATCGCATGTGTTCTTTGGCTGGATCGTAACGTCATCGTGAAAATAAGTTTGATTTGCAAGGAACAGGGTCACTAAGATATCTTATTGCGAAATTGACAATTACGTGTTTAAATTAAAGTGAAGATTTTTTAAATGTTTGTAATCGCCGTGATCCTGTTCATCGCGTATTCGCGGTTTTGTAACGAGGTTGGTTGGTGTAACGTGGCATGGCGTAAAAAATGTTTTGCCTTACTCATTCGGTAAACGTAAACGAATGTATCAAACATATTTGTGGCGACCTTCTTTTGGACAATAAACAAATGTTGAGAAGCTGTTGCTGTTGTTCTAACTCTACCGTGGACATCACAGAACACCAGTTCATCATTTGCTGCCCGTCCAGAAAAAAGCGTCGTCGTCGTCTGCAGATGCTTGAACAACGCTTCTAACATTTCCATGCGGAAAGTTCATGAAGGCAAAACGTCTCTTTTAGAAAAGTGCCACAANCCATGAAATGCGGAAAGTTCATGAAGGCAAAACGTCTCTTTTAGAAAAGTGCCACAAGTGCATCACAAAGCGGCCTACAAAGGACACATTTGAAACGTGGATTAAATAAGAAATCGATACTTTGGAGGATATGCATATTAAAATGATTGTAATCTAAAAGTAAAAACAGTTATTTGGAGAATATCGGCGGGCATTTTACTGGCCGTCGAAACGTAAGAAGAGAAGACACTCTTTGCCAACATGCCTGCGGTAGTGGTTTTACCTGAACATTGACTGATGGATGCACGACGTCGGCGGGCGGCGCACAAACTACACCAAATAGTTGGATGTGCGCTGAACTCCGAGCGAAATCGAGTTGCATCGTTCGTCCATCTTGTGCCTGATTGCTTGAAAGTAAAAGAGACAGATTAGAAGGAAAATACCTTATCTATATTAAAAGTTTTTCAACATGCTCTTTTCCTCGTTTCGATGTACGAGGGAAGAGCGTGGATAAAAATCGACAATTTGAAGGTAAAGTACATTTTTAACTAAATCCACTTCATCTCTTTTAATTTGAATTTACTCTAACGACGATAATTATTAAAAAATTTTGGATCAAATATATAAGATAGTTTTAAAACACAAAAGTGAAAAAATGAATGCAAAACAGTGCTCTACTTTGCAAATGTCGAAAGTTCATTTAATTATATTAGCAACGGTATCTTATTACCTCTTGCCCCATTTAATTGCTCTGAATAAACTCTTGATTAACCTGTGTATTCTGTATCTTCCCTTTCCCTTAAATATTTTACTTATAAATGCTACAGATGTGGATGGTATCAAATATGTCATTAATTTCGATTACCCACAATCATCGGAGGATTACATTCACAGAATCGGACGTACCGGACGTTCCAACACAAAGGGAACTTCTTATGCATTCTTTACCAAAAACAATGCCAAACAATCGAAAGCACTGGTGGATGTTTTACGAGAGGCTAACCAGGTAAAGAACGAGTCTCCTTATTTTATTTTGTACAAAAAAAAAAACAAATAAATTACTACGTGTTTTACAAAGTTAAAAATTTTTGTTCCTCTAAGTATTTGTGTCTTTTCTTTTTTTCTTTTATAGGACATAAATCCTGCACTAGAAGGTTTGGCACGTAACAACCGTGGATTCGACGGTGGTCGTTCCAGGTATGGTGGTGGCGGCGGCGGCAACTCGCGTTTCAATGGCACCTTCAGAAAGGGTGCGATTGGCGGCGGAGGAAATGGTGGTCGCGGCTACGGTGGAGGTTATGGCGGTAACAGCGGCGGTGGATATGGAGGTGGCCGCAGCAACGGCTACAGCAATGGCAACAGCGGCGAAGGTTATGGTAACCGCAATGCTGGCGGCAGTAGTGGCGGTGGTGGAAGAATGCATACGCGTTTTGACTAAATTAACATATTATGCTAGTTAGTTTATAAGCTGTTAATATAATTTTTTCATTCAAATAATGCAATTTTACTTAAAACATAACCAAAATTAATCAAAAAAAGCACTTCAAAATTTTTTTGAAGTGCATTCGATTTCTCAATTTTCTTATTTTGAATAGAAACTACTACTCTCTTTAAAGCGTAGATAATAATTAATATCGAGATATTTAAGCATATTTAAGTTTTGATAATATTTAAGGAATTTGCATTTCTTTTCAAAAAACAAAAAAAGAGTAAGATTACTTGTACATAAAGCACATAATCCCTGGAGTGTCAAAATTTTGATGGCTATAGTAAAAATAAAATCAATCGGAAAATTCCTATGGCCGTACTTGTTTTAAAGTATAGATATAACTACAAATGACTCGAAAGTTTGGTTTTGTTGCATTAGCAGTAAACTATTTTCCAATGACAAAGTTGTAGAACGAAACTCTTGTAGTTAAGTGATAATTTCTGAAAATAAATTTTAATTAGATCCTGAGGATTATATGCTTTTCACAAGTAATTTGTGATGTAGAAGATATTTTGAAAAATTTGTTTATTTGTTTAATTTTACCCTGTACAAAACGCGTATTTGCATTATTTTCGTGACCGTATAAATATCGTCATACCTACTATAAACTATTTACAGTATATGTAGTATTAAGTTAGCTACATCTATTCGTGCGCCCCACTATACTACGTACTGGCACAAACTTACTACAGTATAAATGTTTTCTTACCATAGCATTAACAGCACATTTCAGCTCTTATGTGTGACTAGACTTCAAACGACATTTACAACAAACTGTAAAAACAAATCCATATACCCATACTGAAAAACTTATGTAAACAATTCCACAATCAAGAGGAATTAAGTGAATTTTAAATAAAACAGATAAACCAATTACATATACATTGAAGAGGAATGGATATACATAAAATAAAAGGAAAAACCATTTGGCGTGAAAACTAGGGCCTGTTCGAGGCACGTAATAAAAGCGGCAATACTGCAGCGCTGATGAAAACTTGCATGACTGTTGCAACTTCCCAATTGATAAAACGTTGCCAAAAATCTAAACAGAACTTGATACTTTAATAATTCGCGCAACACTGCGGTTGTGATTGGAACTCGAACAAGCCCCTAATTAACTGTCTTATCAATCATAAAGTTAAAGGAATGTTAGTTTTGGGCAAGTATTCACTGCAGAGATTTTTTATACTTGTCATGGACGTGAAGCGGAGGGTGGCTTCGTGCTACGTTGTTGTTGTTGCTGTTGTTGTTGTTGCTGTTGTTGTTGTTGGTGGTGGTGGTGGTGGTGGTGGTGGTGGTGGTGGTGGTGTTGTTGTCACTAAGGCTAAATTGTGACATTCGCGTTGTCATAACAAGTGAGTTGTTGTAGCGCCTACACAACCCAGCCTACATCGGCTAGTTCCTCAATCGTTGTCTTTAAGCTCAACTAACGGTAAACCCGGGAAGCGTGCAGCTTCTATGTGCTTTGTCCATAGGCGTTAGTTGAGTGGGGCTTTGTGGGCATGCGAAGAGAAGTCTCTTAATCGTGGGGTGTCTCTCCGCATGCCGGGCATTCGTTGGACACATCTACATCTATTCTGCAAAGATACGAGTTTAACCTGCTGGAGTAGCCAGAGCGTAATTGATCTATTGTGGTTCGAGTCTTCCGAGGCAGACTAAGCTCTGTCTCGTCCACATCTGGTGATTGTTTTCGCAAAACAGCATTCACAGGTCGAGAGTCAGTGTAGGTCAACTGGGCACGAATCGCGCCATTCGTGATCGAAAGATTACTCGTTACAAGTTGCGTTCCCTAACTCGCAAGAAGTTGCAAGAATTGACAGGAATTTACCAGAAAGCGTTCACGTACTCGGTTCTCTGGTAAAGTAGGGGAAAAATGGAAGAGTAAAATCGATCCTCGCTTTGTTGTAAGATTTTACCAGAAGAATTTTTGTTGTTCGTCTNTAAACAACTATTCTGATAAGAACACAATAGAGTACGCGCATTTTTTTTGCATATGCCCCCATAAAATGTAACTGCGACTTTTGCCTGCGAATTGCTCGGCAAACTTATAAGTGAAGAGGCGCGGGTCTAGGGCGATCACAAAGCGGCAATTCTCGCTGGCTTACGAGTATCACAATTTATTAGCCAAGGCGAGTTTATACAAGGTGGTATCGGCAGCCATAGTTGCCAACTTAGTGCTTTAAGCACTAGATTTAGTGCTTTTTGAAAATTAAAACGCCAAAAATAATGGTTTAGTGCCTAGTGCCCTTTTTAGTGCTTTTTTCTGAACTAAAATTTCTGAATTTACAAATCGATGGCTGAGTGGAAGATCGACCTATGTCGGTTGCCAGTTCGAAAACGCTCTATCTCAAAAAACTTTTCAAGAACGCCCTA